GCTTCGATATTCCCCCCGCCCCCGCCGAGCGGTCGGGGAGGTTTGACTATCGCTTATTATTGTAGATATCTGTTAGTTTATCTGTTATCTATTTGTTTAATTTATAGTTATTTTTATTTTTATTCTTTGTGTTATTATTGTGTATTCACACATAAGGTTTCTTAGAATACGTTACTTGCACTTTTCAGAGCAAGACCGTGCTGTCCGTACTGTCTTAGATAAGAACGTCTCGTTCTTTTGAGAACGGTGACCCCCGCCCCAACTTGCCTTAGAGTAAAACGTCACGTCTGTAGAATGTCCACCCAAGACCTAAAAGGTTCTCTTCACGATGCCATCAATAGGATGGATGACCGGCGGGCTCTCGCCGCAGCCCTGGCCATTTTGGCTACTCCCGCTCTTCAGGCAAATCAACCGCCGTCCGTTATAGCGGCCCAAATTCAGTCCCTAAACTCATTCGCCCCTCTCGAGCTAGATATGGAGTGCTTCTACTCCGACTCCGGTTCCTCTGTATCGGCCTCCCGGAAGAGGCCTGCCACTAAGTCCAGAACCAGGACATCGGAGTCCTCTGACTCCGATGGAACCGGTGACTCATAACCGCTGCGCTCCCGTACTTGCGAAGAATCAAGTCCCGCCCCCTGTCTTTTTAAGAGACAAAAAAGAATTTACTAGACTCTCAAAGATCTGCTATGACGCAGGTATAAAATACGACCAAGCTACCAACATGGGTGTAGCGATTAAAATAGTCCCACAATCCATAGACGATTTTCGCCGCCTTACAAGGCTTTTTAACAATGAACGTGTGTCCTACCACACTTACGCTCTTCCGGAAGAGCGTAAAGTCAAGCCGTCATCCGAGGCATCCCGTACGAACTCTCCAACGAGGAAATCCTTGAAGACCTTAAGTCACAAGGATTCCCCGTTGAGGCTGTGCATAAAATGCACAGCAGAACCGGGTTGAGATACCCGTTAGTGCTAGTTATACTTACAAACGTTCCGGAGGCTAAAACTATCTTCCGGCAAGTACGCACTGTGTGTGGCTTGTCGGGAGTGAATTTTAAGCCACCGCATAGGCGCGGTTTCCCGGCACAATGCCACCGCTGCCAGCTTTATGGTCATGCGCCGGCCAATTGCTCCGCCCCACCCAGGTGCGTTAAGTACCTCGACCCCCAAATCACGAAAGAGTGTCCCCGGCCCTAAGATGCCAATTTCCCACCCGCGTGAGTCCTGTGTCAACAAACAGGCCACCCGGCAAGTTACAGAGGTTTCCATGATGAACGCTACTCCTATCAGTGGGTCCCAAAATACATGCATTCTTGCCATCCTCCTTTCATATGAATCTCTTCTGCCGTTATAGCATGATTAAGTAAGAACAAAAATCTGCAAACCAGCATGCTAAAAATTTGCAAGCATTTAATCTATCTATATTTTTCGTTACAGATGCTGGCAGCCAAAATGCAGGCGGAGGCAGCCAAAGTGCAAGCTGAGGCGTCTGTCTCTTTTATTTGAGCAGTAAAATAAGAGATGCATTAATTTTATTGTGAAATAAAAATAATAAATAAATTGAGATGTTTAATGTTTTGTTTCAATTCACACAATATTACTATAGATAATGAAGTAAAAACAGTATTTATGAGTCATCTTTGTATGCACTCTGCAACAGCTTGCCCAGTGCCAGTAATTTGTCCTGTGATAAAAACATAAAATTTTAAGATTATTCTAATATAATAAAGACAAACTAGTCTAATCTAATATGTCTCAAACAACATGATTACATATATCTTCTAGGCCATCATCATTGAAGCTATGAACAATTATTTTTGTGGATGTGGTGAAATATGGTTCCATCAATCTGAATTTAATATGCATGATGTATAGCACTGCACATGCATTGACTATTAGGACAGCAGTGTATGGCTCATACATTAACTAGAGTTGATAAGATAGACACCTATTAACAGACTAGTTTACCAAAGAATATTTTTATGTTTCTGGCCTCCAAGGCATTGATTTTTCATTGGGATCATCAACCATGGCTCCAGAGGATATCCATCATCACTTAAAAGATTAAACATATAAATTGCATTTGGAAGCCTTATAGACATTTTCTTCCAAATAAACTTTATCTCACGAAGTAAATGTACGGTGATCCCCATTGTCAAAATATCACCTCATGGTTGAGCATATAAGTGAATATGCTCAACCATGAGCCCATTTGAGAGTGTTGTGTCTAGCTCCTGGCCATTTGGTGTTGATGTTTAAAATTAATAAGTCGTATTACATACCTAAAATATACTTAATTAGATGTACCTATTAGTGTTAAATAAGTAAATACATTTATTATTTATTAATGATGTTCCAGAGTGGAACTAGGTACTTGCATTAAAATTATAATGTAAGCCCTTAAGACTAATAAGTATTATTTAAATTTGACCTAAACTGCTGAGTGAAATGTTTTTTCAATAACACTTTTCTTACTGTCAATAATACGGGGAAGATACTTTGTTCATATGTTCAAGCAAATAAATAGGTAAAAAATAACTACTGAAGATAAACTTACAGCTTGTATATTTAATGAATGGCCCTCATGTTGAACACTTACATTTGCCTCTTTATCCATTTTTTGAGCTATGTAGTCTATGGCTCCAATTGCATCTGGGAATTGCTGTTGGGCGTATTAAATTTTTTCTTTAGCTCCTCGCCACTCTTCATGGGTCATAGGGAATTTTATATGTTTTCTCAATAATTTTTGATTAACAGCATGTATTACTCGACTTACCGATTTTTGGCTCATGCTGCAACCCTACAGCATGCCAACTGATAGTACCCACTACCATAAAATAGAAGTGCCGTCAGTAGGTACCTATTTAGAAGGAAATGAAAGTATAAGTTAATACAATCGACCAATAGTGTTAGTTTTTTAAAGGTATAGACAATTACATGATGACACTCACTTGAGAATTCACAGAATGTCCGCACGGCTGTTGTTCTTGAAGAGATGGTCCAAGTTCACCTACAAGTTTGGTAAACATATCTTTTGTAATTCTGTAAAGGTATAGACATTGACTATCCCCTAAATCCAAGGGATTTTCACTTTCGCGCCGGTTGCATGCTATTTGCCGACGTATAACCATAACACGCCTGTGTTCTAGCACTGATAAATCCCATGCTAGATATGATTCCGCCATTATTATTTAATACCTTTATAATTATATATTATTATAGATAATAGATTTTAAATCAGTAAAACTCCAAAGCAAATTTTTAAAGAGGCTTATGATCGTAACGAATAAATATCGGGCTGTCAAAAATGGTTGATAATAGTTAATAGCGTATTTGCTAACATAGCAATAAATTGTAAAATTTTCAATAGTGCTGTTACGGTAACGTCATTAAATTGATAGCTTTGACAGTAGAGACTACCAAATATTATTATATTCGGATTGTTATGACTTAGCAACTGATATTGGTTGTTATGCGATCGCTATCTATGTCGAGACTGCAGGCACTGAAATACGCGTTTTCCTCCTTTCGGGGTAGAAAACGCGTCTATTTCATGTCTGTGCCTTCGGCTTGACCTTTCGGAGAGGTGTTTGGATTCTGTCGGCATATTCTTAAAATAGATGTTATGAATAATAGAAGGATACTGTGACGAGAAAATAGTAATTAATTATCTGTGTGTAACTAACTTGGTTTATTAATAACAAGAAGTAAAATAATATATATTTTCAAACTTTAAACAGTCGTTTATTTCGAACATAACAACTAAAACAAGAAAATAAAAAAACAAAACCGAATCTATAACAAACTATTAATAATTATATTTTTAAAACAAAAACGTAAACAAAAGAAAACTTCTTATAACGTCATAGATAATCGCAATCATATAATATAAATGCTTATGCTTACAATACATATTATAATCAGTCTTGTTAAACAATCTCAAAATTATTATCAGAAACAACAATAGTATTTAAAGTAATTAGTGTTGTCTTTCAAATTCTCTTTACGTAATATTAACTATAAGGAAATGTTATTAGCGTATTTAAATGAAACCACTGCAGACCTGATGCTTCCTGGACTAGACAAAATACCAGCTTCGATGAAAGCTGTTTTAACCCATCCTGCTATACAGACCTCGAAGCTGTTTTTACTAATCCTCTAGTGGAAATAAATAAACTATCTAGGTTAGGATCAGCTTTTCTCCTTTTTTTAGTCACACTTAATAATGTTGTGACCCAAAAGTGTAAATTAAAGTAGCGATCCTCTAATGTATGAATTTTCACGCCCGTTGTTGACCCGACTTTTGGCCAAAATATTACATAATTTGAATCTCCATGAATTCGTTTCCCGTAGAAAGTAAGATAAGGTCATGAATCCTTCGCCCGGATGCAAGCAATAAAAATAATGCAGTATAACTCGAGGTTTGAAAAATACTATTCTTATCACGAAGATTTTTCTTCATCCACGATAATAACGTTTCCACATTCCAAACTTTGCACTTACGTTTTAATGCTGAGTTGCCCTTAAGGCTCACAGCTTATTCGAGTGACGAGTTGATCGAGTTACTGACCGCACGTCTGTATACTTGAAATTAAGTTAAAAAATCATATCATGCAGTAAAAACAGTATTTATGCAGTAACTATTGATCAGTGTAATCCTTACAAAATTATCTATCGTTTTGTGTATGTGTCAGTTCGGAATTTCAAGTGATAGTGCGTAAATAAACGTTTAATAACTCATACAACTGTGTTTTTGAATTTTAACATTAGATCCGTGCCGTGTCACCTTGAAAGTTAAACCGGTCACCCGCCCAATAACTGACCAGTGTGTGACGACACCTTTTTGCTTTTATTGTCTATTTTCGCTGCGATTGCTATCGGTAGCTTGGTATAGCGTTTCAACGTAGTGATTTTAACTACAAACGGTGGAGCAAATCCAGATCTCAGTAGCTTTTTTTGTTCTTTTATCTTGTTTGTTCTTAATATACAGTATAATCATAATGCCGAATAAATTTGATCTTCAATGCAGTATGTGCCAGCAGCCCTATGACCTCCAGTGCGCCAACATTAAATTGAGTCTTTTTAATAGAATGACAGGGGATCAAAAGACTAAATGGAAATGTGGGTTATGTATTAATAAACAGCCGAAAACCAATAATACAGATACCCCGGTACGTGTGGGTGTAGAAAGGGTCAATAGAAATAGAGGTGCAGCAGCAGTGAGTCCGCAGGACTTACTAGACGACGACAGAGCACAGAGTGAAACTATACCAGCAAAAGACCTACAATTGCTTATGATGGAGGTACGTCAATTCAAAGAGGAAATGGGAGCCACACGTCTCCAAATAGAATTACTGAATGGCACTTTGGCTGGTTTAGCGCTTAGAATTGATGAATCCAATAGAAAAATTGAAAAGCTAGAAGCCCATGTGGGCATCCTGGTAGGTCGTCTTGCTGATAGTAGTACGTCGACCGATGTAGGTTCTTTGCTGGATACAATAGAGCAACTAAAGTGTGATCTCAATGAGCGTGATCAGGAACTATTGTGTAATGATATAGAGATTACTAGCATCCCTGAAGAGAGGGGTGTAAACTTAATACACATTGTCACCACTCTGGCCGTGAAGTTGGGTGTCAACCTTTCTGAGAACGATTTAGTCTTTTCGAGATATCAACATTCGTACTCGAGGTGCTTCTTTGGGAAGAAGTCGACTTGTTCTTTGTAACCTTATGTTTAGGTGACCTAATGGTGTTACGAAGGCAGCAAATGTCAATCTCCCTATCAATGAAGTACCCATTTCCCAATTCTAGAATTTGGAATTTATGACTCGTTTGAGATCCTGGAGGATTCTGTTCACTTTCTCTTTCGGAAGCAACTTTGATTTATTGATTGTCCTACGAGATTCCCAGAAATATTATCTTTTTTGTGGGAAAAGGAATTAATTTTTGGAAGTTTATTACCCAATCTAAGTTGAGAAGTACAATTTTCACACAGTGTATTTGACAACTGAGAGCGTTTTGGTCTTGACTCGTTATTAGAAAATCGTCCAAATACACTATTACCCGGATGCCTTTTTTGGTAAATGACTTGCTATCCAGTTCGTTATCATGACAAAAGCTAAAGGAGCGCTTGCCGGTTCAAAAGGTAGACACGTCCATTGATACATCTATTTTGGGAAACATAAGCTAGGAATCGACGATGTTGTCTTTTGATCGGTACATGTCAGTATACCTTTGAAAGGTCTATTTTTGATATGTAATCTAGCTCCTGCAGAAAATTCGCGACATCGTTTTGATTTATCAAACTGAACTTTATGGGTTTCAAAAACGCGTTTAACTGTTTGAGGTTGAAAACAGATCGCATGGTGTTGTCGGATTTTTTTACAAGATATTATATATTTCCTGTTGCAGAGGTTCCCCACCTCGTTCACTGAAAATCTGCTTGAAAACGGTATGATTGGTGGTTGCATAACGAGAGGGATACTACTCCCTTATAAGATCCATAGAATATGAGGAGGGGATTACCTTTTATAAAAGAATTTTGGATTCGCTTTTCAGATGACTTTGACTGTTTAGACAGAGTCTTAGTAAATTTATTTGGAGTTTTGTTTGAGTTCCTTTGGGTACTTGATATATTTGTCGAGGACGGCTGTCGAAACTTTGCTTTATTGTATTTTTGTTGGTTTTCCTGAAATCGCTTCATGAACCTTGAATTAAATACTCGAAAGAAACCTCCTTCTCTTTTAATTAGTTCAGACAATTTTTGATAGTTGAATAAATGTGTGCGTGAAGGTGGAATTTCATTCAATTCACTCGCAAAAATATCGATTTAGGTCTAAAAATTTTTCGATGGTTTTTGAACACTTCAGATCTACGTGCATATGTATAATGTAACAAATGAGCAGATGTCTGTTTAAAGAACTCTCGACCTCATTTAATGCTGCTTCACTCTATGTCCTTTCTTTTAAGATACCATGAGTGATAGTGCCGAAGGCAGTATACGTTCTGCCCAATATCTTTTGACTATGAGAAGTCAAGTTGCCAATACATGTCAGTTGAGGATTTACTTTTAAAGCACTAAAAGTGGAGTGTCATGAAGGCGTTCAGTAAAGGCATGGAGTTCATTATTTGATATGAATACCCTTGATCTTCTATGTGAAAATCAGCTCTCGGAAAAGGCGGTTGAACTTCTTCAACAACACGTGTAAAATCGTAGGAATATTAGACCATTAGCGATTTTAGTACCGCTCTTATGCCTAGGGTATGCCAGGTGGGTTGTGTAGCTATATCTGAGTTTCAGGTAATATCAGAATCACAGTCTTCATAATTCTCATAATCATTTGGGTCAGGTTATTGTTGGCTGTGATCGATAGATACATCTCTTAGTTTATTTATTTGTGATGACAGAGACTCGAAAATTGACATTACTTTATTATCTAGAATATCAACTCTTGACATTTTCTTAGGTAAGGATGATCAGTATATCACAGTGTGTGAAGTATCTGAACAAGAATATTCTCCATAAGCCCTTCTTCTTTTTCTAGAATCATTATTTTGTTCATCAGATAGCGATGCAGCTAATTTTTTTAGTTGATTCGAGGCTTCTTGTCTCGATACCAATAGAAAATGTATACTAATCTGTATTGCTGCATTAAAAATCATTGTTTGAGTTGCAGAGCCTCTAATGAAGTTAGCTAATGCTGAAAGTCACATGATTAGCGCTCTATAAATAGCCCAATTCAGCATTTTTGCTTTATAATCGTGATACCGTCTTTTTGATAAAAAAAAACAGCTTCTGGGTTAAAGGCCGTTGCTATTCCAATCGTGGGGAGAGCATACCATAACTTACTCAGAAGCTGTGGGTCCGGATTTGCACCAACTGCATCTTCTTTGGATAACGTTGAATCATTCCATTCACGCCAACCTTCGGGGAACTTGGTCCTCACTAACTATTTAAATCCATTTTCTAGTACTCCATTACCATCATGTTTCAACATATCATCGTACAACTCTCCAATTGTAGTATATGTTACTACCGCCATCTGAAAATAATCTATTTATTGTTCAGGCAAGGAATTATATTACATAAAAGCATTAATGCCAGTAATTTCTTAAAGTGTCAATTTTGCATAGTTTTAAGCAAAGAAGGCTGTAACATAGAATAAATAAGCCATTAGGTTGCTTAATACTTAAGCCTCAAAACTACCAAGCTGTTATATATGAGCAATAAAATCTGTCATATTTGATCCGTAAGGCTCTCTATTGAACCATAAGGCTATATTTGAACTGTAAGGGTGATATTAACCGTTAGGCTGTTATAATTGAGCCGAGAAGCTGCTATATTCGAGCCGTAAGGCTGCTTTAAATGAGCCGTAAAGCTGCTTTAAATAAGTCGTAAAGCTGCTATATTTGAACCGTAAGTCTGGAATATTTGAGCCATTAGGCTGCTACATTTGAACCGAAAGGCTCTAATAATTGAAACGTAAGGCTGCTGTTTTTTAGCTGAATTGCTATAATGGGACAGAATATGCATTCGTCTCATTCTCTCAAAGTTTAGTTTTCTGAAGGTTTCACTTCTACCGCGTGTGAACTACACAGATGTTATTTTTTTGTCTATTATTAAAATTTTAAAAAATCACACAAACTAACAATTATAGTGACCCCTTGCTATTAATTATTTATATTAAAGACAAGACTTTCAAATAAATTTTAATTACAGTGCTTAAGTAAATGCGCAATCACATATGCACTCTCTATTCCCTCACTCTCATAGTCCGATGGGACGGAAACTGACACGACCAGAGAGAGATGAGGCGCAGTACCAACGGCTTTACAAATAAAATTTTTATTTTACAAATAAAAATATTTGCTTGATATGACAACTACAATGTAATGTATGTACTACAAGAAACATAACAATAAACTTTGGTAATCATCACAGTTTTTACTACCGAATAAATCAAAATACCTTTATTTTTATCTTTAGTACAGGAAACTTTAAGATCGATAATCCAGGCAATAGTTTTGTTACATTTATCACATACGTCCTTTTTGGAGGAAAAAATTGCTACATATACTGCGTTTCCCTTTTACACCCGATTATTCAACATCTCTTGTATAGAATGTTAACTCGTTTTATCAATCTTTGTATTTATTCACTTTGTATTGCTCACCGGGTTGACACAATTATTTGCGTTTCTTTCATAAAATCTTGTTTCAGTCCTGGGATTAGATAAGTACATGTAAATATGAATATTCTCCAGGCCGAATTTTGGTCATAATGGCCAGTCTTGATGGAGAATAACTATCTACAACGATAGGAACTAACGACAGGATTATAGTGCGTTAGGCTCAACTTACACTGGCGCTAAATCGAAGCGACGCGACGCGTCATATTTTTCCGCCTACAGCATATTCAACTCTATTGTTCTATTAATTAAGTACAGATTTCTGCAATGTAAATATGGAAGCGCGCGTCGACGTGCGTTGACGCACGAATTCGCGCTTTGACGCTCGGCTGGAGTCGAATGGATTCGCGTGGCGCCGCGCGTACTCGTACTCGGGCGCAGTGATGTGCCAGACCATAGAGTAGCGTCAGACGCCGACCACAACAGATGGACGACAGTACTGAACTACGACGACAATGGACGAAGATGAAAAATTAATTTATTTAATACAGGAATATGAATGTCGGTTTAACGTCAAGGCGAAAACCTACAGTGATAAAAATTGTAGGAAAAATGCCTGGCAAAAAGTAAGCGGCTTACGAGCATCGACCCTTAGTGTCTGCGTAAGTATAGCTGCCTTCTCAATTCCCTAACACTTATAAACTGATTCGGACGGAATTCCGGCTTTACGTGTTCTTTGCAAGGCTTGGCCATAAAAGACCGCAAACTTTTTGACTTTCGAGCAACAATTGAGAATGTATTGTCAGAAAAGCCTAACAACGGGTTTCGGCTCGAACCGAGATTCAAACCCGAGACCTCACTCAGGAGGGAGAGAGAGAGAGAGTGGATAAAATTTAACTTTGCTTTATAACGTACATATGCCGATAGATAAAAGTACTCCATTAATCTTGTCAAATTTTTAGCTAAAATTATTTAACTACATGAGTGAGGTGTCATGTCATGTCGCGCAATTCAGACGTGTGATATATCTCGGTGAAACCGCGGGGTATAGCTAGTTAGAAAATAACAACACAACTACCTAAAATTTTTACTTTGTATACTAGTAAACGTGGAGTAAACTCGGATTTACTACGTAATTACGTGAATTTTTATCATCGCAAATACAACTCAAAGTAGTAAATCGCAGGTTTATGGGTAACCAATATCGCAGCAGTATAAAGTTCCTATTTTCTTGGAGTTAAAAATTGGAAAATACGAGCTGAATGGGGCCAAATGTAATTTTGCTAACTCTGTTTGTAGCTGATATTGGATAAATTGTTTAAAAAGAGAGCAAATGTTATATATCCACAAAACAAAATATATTAAAAAAAACTTTATAATAATATTATGTAATACAAGTACGTTATAACACAGTGTATCGAAAAATTCAAACCCGAGTTTTGAAGCTATATTTAGTTTTTTTTTTTTACGGTCATCAGAAGCACAATATTATGAACGAATTGCTGAATTGCTTGACTCTGAAGTACTTTAATTTAACAGCAAATTATTCTGCGTCGCGGCAACGTTTGAATAATTAAAATAATCGACTTTACGTATTA